ACATAAATTATTTATTATTTACGAAGAAACCGTCGTAGAAATTATTATAAAATGTTTCGTCTACTTACTTATACGATTATTCGAGTTCATCCAGCAGGACTTTAGCGTCCTGCACAGTCTTCTTCGCCGCTTCTACTTTTTGTTTCTAAAAGGAAAAAAAACACATCTTTATATGTATTTTTTAGGAAGCCGTGTTAAAATTTGCGGTGTAATTATGTTATAATAACCGTTGTTTATTATATACATATTTAGGTCGCATTGTTGTCGTTATTATTAATATTTATCATTATTATTATTATTATTATTATTATTATTATTATTATTATTATACTTTGCTTTAGCTCGTGTGAGATTTTTTTTATTTTTTATTAAAGGTCGATAAACACTTACCATGACATTGTCCCTTCAGGGGATGGTCCACTGAAAATAACATAAAATTTAAGTTTTAGTAGAATCAAACTAATATTTATCCGATCTACGTAATTAATAAAGTAAACTAATATAGTATGATAGAGAAGCATTTCCTACCAAAAATTGCCTATGTATAAACCGGTGATAAAATGTCGTCTGCTTATGCGTATTATTCGATATTAAGTACTTTATCTAAACTACAGCGCGGTTATAGTATTGAAGATATTATTTTAGCCCGCTGGAAAAATTTAACGTTCGCTTGAATGACTTTTGCGCAATATTCACCAAATTCAGACGAAATAATTTAATCAGCGTAAAGATAAATAAATCCAGTACTTACTTCTGTATACGAAGATCCCGAATTATTCGGGGTGCTCGTTGATAGCGGCGTAAATAGCCGTCTTCGAGCTAAAACATACGTTAGTTTTTTCTTTGTTTATACCAATAGTAATTTTATGAAACTTTATTTTTTTACATAAGTTTTGTACATTTTTATTAAGCTTAATCGAGCGAAATTGATTCACATTTTTAAGCGTTAAATAAGCGAATATACGCGATAACGTTAACCAAAACAAAATAATAATAATAAAAAACTTACATCTTGTTCCGGTGTTAACACCGGCGTATCATCCAGTCTCTTAAAAGTGAAGGAAAACGAATGTTACGCTTTTTTATTATTATAAGTTTGAATACAATGAGACAAACTATGTAACTAGTAAAAAAAAATATACATAAGGGTGCCTAGTGGTTAAGATGTCTCTAAGATTGCCTCTCGTCACAGAGGTCGTAGGTTCGAACCCTACCAGGGTCACGACTATGTTTTCTTAAAATCAAATACGCTGCAAGCATTTTTACAATCGAGCTAAAACAAATAATGTTTAAACTAAAATAATGCGCGTTATACGAGATATATCGGGCACGCTCGAATCATAACCCACGCTTGAGTCATAACCCACGGGCTATTCGGTGACGCTATGATTTATATATAAGTTTATATATTTGCGTGTATGTCTTTTGAATTAAAGTCTAAATTCAGTGTTACACTAGAGTTTGACGGTACGAAATCAGAAAACACTCAAAATAATATAAAAACAATAGTTTTTGACACAACTAAAGTAAACTCTTTTAATTGCCTTTTAAGAAATGAATATTAGTCAATTAATAAATTGATAACACAAGTTAATTCGGGTGACGTCAATGAATCTGCCACACAATTCACAAATTTACTTTATTCAGCAGCTGGAACTGTATTCGGTAAGATAAATAACAAAAAATACAAAATTAAATACGAAAATAAGTTATGGTTTGATAGCAAATGTAAACAAGAAAATTTCAAATTTAAATCTCTTAAGAACTTGTATAATAGGAATAAAACAGATGAAAATAAACAAAGGTTTGTTAAAGCCAGGACACGATATAATAGGTTTAAAAAGAAAGATAAGTTTAAATATAAACTAAAAGAGGGTGATCGTTTAAATAAATTAGCCTCCTCAAATCCACGTAAGTTTTGGAAAATACTTAAATCTAAGTACAAAAAAGACAGCAACAAAGCAGAATCACTCAAAATTGATGACTTATATACTCATTTTAAAAACATGTACGGCCAAAATGAAAATTACTCTAATGATGTTTTTAATATTCCCGACGAAAATATTACTTCCAATGACGAAATGCTCAATAGAGACATTACCGAGGAGGAAATAAGGAAATCTGTTAGTCACAAAATAAAAAGACGCCACATATTAATGAGAACAGTTGAATGAATAATAAATAATTAGGCGGCTTTATTCGAAATTACGCACTACGGATCTTTCAAGTTTTTAAACTAATGAAAATTTACAAACAAGTATCACAAAAACGTGTTCTTTTGTGTAAACCAATTACAACCAATTATGTACAAGTATGTTACGAAGGTTGTTAAAAAATAAATGGGATTTTGAACTCAAGATCATCATTTTCGCTTGACCAAATGTGTTTTCATATGTTCGTTCGCAGGAAATCTTTACCTACAATTCCACCTTAGATTATATATAATTATATATTCTTGCAAAGCGCGCACACATTGGCGATTAAATAACCATTGAACAGCTCACCAGGCGCACGTTAGAATTGTTGTTATTTCATCTAAATTTGTCTCTATTTTTCATAAATTTATCGTCGATGAATTTCATTAAAATTCCGTTAAATTGTCCTATCACTTATTCGTGATCCATGTGCAAAATTGACGTCATTCGGATTTTAGATGTCGAAGTAAACAATATTTGCATATGATTAGTAATAACGTTACAGAAACTGAAAATGCCGTCAAACGAAAAATTAGAAATTCGCACAATTGTAAAATTTCGCTAGAAGATAAGTAACACGCCTACTTTTAAGAAACTGCAGCGTACCAATGCCAATAACTTTCTGTTGCGACCAGCGACTTAGTGACGATGAAACAGAGATTTTAGGCAGAGTGGGTCGAAGGATAGGAGGAAAATTAACGCGACGTGAGTGGCGTAAAAAGCGGAGACGTTTAGGACAGATAATAAAATTATCATTTATTTGAATCTAAATATTAATGCATTTTAAAATGGTGATTATTTATTTATCTAAGTTGATAATGTTTATTATTATTAATTATTTAATTTTAAGATAAACTTGAAAAGGAACATGAAATAGGTTTGCTTCTAACATTATTTAATTACAACAGGTACGTGTTAATTTGTGCGACGTCATGAACTTAATTTGTTGATGTTTTCATGCACTCATTGTTATTTTAATTGCTGTAGAAGTGAGAGTTATTGCCCGAGTCCTTTTTATTTTTGAACAACCCTCGCATTATCCCTGTGTAGCAACGTGATAGTAAGTCAGTCAATTATAAATCTGTTCTGTTCTGTAAATACTGAAAATGTTTAATATCATAAATTATTTATTAACTTTATAATATGACACGAGAATCTGGTCAATTTGTTTGCTTGATACAAACCTCGCCAATATAGCACGAAACTTGGCCAATACGAGAAAAACACGGCCAATATGGGAAAGGGCGGCCAATACGGGATTTAGCCAAGCAGGATTTAGGAAAAACTTGGCGTTAAACGAGATTAGATTTTGACTATTTTGGACGCCAATTTGAAAATGCTTAGCATTTTTTGCGCAATAGTGTTAGTTTATTTGGTTTGAAGAGACGTATATGTCTATACGTGCTGTTATGTTTTTTATAACAAGATGGAGCATTGCAATTTATACATTTATTTTTAGATTTTTCTATATGTTTTCCAACAGTATTTCTTCTTGATGACAATACCATTCATATCCATACATATATTTTCTTTCTCATTTGAACAGAAAATTTGAGATTTGATCAAGTATACAACTACGGCCTCAGGCCAATCCAATAACAAGGCCAAAATGAATTCAACTAATTAATAACATAATTAATAACATAATATTATTAAATGTGTAATTGATCGGCTGGTTTAGTTAATTTTGATGACATTATTCTTATTATGCTAAATGTATTTACATAATGTAAGAAAAATATATTGAGTGATATCTTTTTATGTATATCGTCCACCAGCTATGAATAGTGCCTATAAAATTCACCACCTTTTATATATAGACATTATATAGAAAGTTAAATTTTTATGAGTTTTTTTCTTTCTGGTCACATTAAACCTTATCAAAATTTGAAGTATTATGCAATATTTTTATATCTTTTTTTCTAATTTTTAAATCATCTTTCACTTGGTATCAGTATCTGTATTGCATTTAAGTGATCGATGTATTTGATTTTTTCGTTTGGGTTTGGGTTTTATAAGGTACTTTTCCTGATAATTGTGGATTTTGTTATTTCATTTTTATGGTGGTATATTTCTGCCAACAGTGAACCATATAATTATCGCGTTAACTATCTGACTAACTAGTTAGTTTTCCTGTTAACACGATACATAACAGATATTGTTCAGACTAACTAGATATATTTTTTCTGTTAGATAGATAAATAACGAATAAGTATCTAACTTCAAAAAACACTAAAAAGTGTCCAGAACTGCCAACATTTACCAGTTAAATATCAGATAATTATCTGTTTATCTATAAAACTTTTGTGTTTGTTAGTTAGTAACCTAAGTATCAGATAATTATCTGAATAACTATATACAATTTTAGTTAATACATAATGCGGAATATTTCGGACATATCCTTGCGTTTCTTATTATTATCTAACACATTAAGTGATTATCTGGAAAGGTTTTCTGTTACCAGTTAAATAACAGATAATTATATTATTATATCTACATAAATTTTGTATTAGTTAGTTAACTACATAAATATTAGATAATTATGTGTATAACTAGTTAAATTTTCAGTTAACAGATAAAAGATAGATATTGCTGAATGCTTTGGACATCCCTTGTAAGGGCGCGTTACTGACCAAAATTCAATTTTAACGACCGAAATCCACAGTTATACTTCACGAACATTTTTTCTTTGAAAAAAGGTGTAAATTGATGATTTGCAGAAAGTAGTACATTTTTCATTGTTAAACTTTTAAATTACCTGCTAAAATTTGATAATATTATAGAGTTTGCGAGCGTTCCTATAGACAATGCTAATTAAGATAATTTGACCGCCGCCATTTTGTTATCACGTGACTGTCCGCCATTACGGGAGTGAAAAATTCCTGATAGTCTGAGAGTAAAGAAAATCTACCATTATTAACTTAAAAATATCCGACACACATGGCTACCAACAAGCAGTTTCGTAAGTAAAATTATTAGAATATGTTTTATGAATGTACCTGTAGTTAAAATTTAACCACTAATGGATCAGACTGTGTGAATTAGCCGATAAATCGCCACAAAATGTAAACAAAGAGGTCACATAAATCAGTGTAAATTGCAAATGTCGGCACTTTGGAGGAAAACGTTCGCGTTTTTCAATCTAAAAGCTTGGACATACGATTTTATGTCACAGGTCATAGACACTACAGTTGAAAGGTAGTTTTAATATGTTTGTTAAAATATCAGTGGTTGATTTAATATTTATTTAAGTACGTTAGATTATACGGGATAAATTTCTGGTACTGCATTCCGTGTGATTTTGTTATTCGCCGCAAGCTTCGTCAAAGTCATGCATATAGATCTGTTATGATAATGATTTTCGTAATCATAGTTATATTTGTTTAAATTTTAATGATTTAGACCATTTTGTTTCCTACAAATTAAATCTTAGTCCATTCATCGGGCATTTATAAATAACGTGCAGTACCGGCCCTGCACATACTCGACACAGATCGGCTCTGGCCTTTGTACCTTTTATTATATACATGTAGATATGTATTTATTTATTTTCATACTATTTATTTTTTTTGTAACTGGATGCTTACCAACTTTCTTTTTTTTTTTTCAGGCCTACCTCCTGATGACCAAAGTTGGGAAAAAAACGATTGTAAAACATGGCCAAAGTTGTCTTATGAAGACCTTGTTGATTATTTGATCCACAAAAAAGCATATGATGGAAAGGCAATGAAGTCCTTTCGGTCATTGTATGGATACAACTATGTACAAAATGGTTGGATGGGAGACATCTGGTCCTTAAATTATGATGGAGAAACATACCTGAAGGCAAAAATCTCACCTAGTCAACCAGGTGTAGGACGTAAAGATTATGATACCTGGATTTTAGTGAAGGCCGACAGTTCAGTAGAAACTGGTCACTGTTCTTGTCCCGCTGGTAATGCCCATTCTTGCAGTCACATAGCTGCTCTCATTTATGCTGTCACTCTCGCCTGGTCAAATGGAATTGCGGGACAAACTTGTACAGACAAATTGCAAATATGGGGAAAAGGAGCCACCAATGTTTTAAGCCATGACCCGATTTCCCAAATGAATTTTGATAGGCCAAACCAGTTTATTCTTACGAATGAAACGAGTGATTCTCCTGGAAAAGTGCACGCAGATTCAGATTCTACCAGTAACATTGAGCAATTTGTCAGTCATGAAGATTTAATAGAATTTGCAACAAATTCAAGTGTTGGCAGGCTTTGGGACTGTAAAGGCACAATGTTGAACAAAATTTTATTGGCACCTGTCATAAAAGAAAGAAAAGAAATAGAAGTAGTACACCAGGATCATTGTGTTGATTCTTCCAACCCTGTGAATGTGCCCCTGTCATGTGGGAAATGTGAAACTTTTTTCAAGCAATTCATTGACTTGTCTCCAGAGAAGGCAACTTTTTTTACAGAAAACACTAAAACACAAGACTCAAACCTTTGGTTGGACACTAGAAAGTTACGTGTTACAAGCAGTCGAGTCAGTAGTTTACCCAAAACTCAGCGGGCTGATCCGAACAAATTCATAACTAACCAAATCTATCCAAGATTCAAGGGGTGTACAGCCACACGTCATGGACAAAAGTTTGAGCCTGTAGCTCGTGCATGGTTTGAAAGTACTACTAATCAAACTGTTGCTCAGTCAGGCATAGTAGTGAGTGAAAAAGAGCCCTACATAGCTGCCAGTCCAGATGGAATTATAGACAATTCAACAATTCTGGAAATCAAGTGTCCAACACGACCACTTAAAGAATTAATTAACTCTGGAAAATATGATGTTGTTATGGAGGCCGGGGAGCCAAAACTCAGTGCAAAGGGGAAGAATGGCTATTACCTCCAAGTGCAGATTGCAATGTTTTGCACACAGACAATTCTTTGTAAGTTTGTGTTGTGGACTCCAGATGACAAATGTATTATTGATGTACCATATAATGAACAGGTTGTCTCAAACATTCTACCTAGAATTAGAGACTTTTACTTTAGACATATTCTGATAAGATTGTCTGATGAGTATGAATCAGTGCGTTTAAAATTGTGTTAGGAGTACAAAGACCTATGTTGTTAAGGGAATTTAGTATTACTGGTACTTATGTCTATAAAATGAAATAATTATATGAGCCGCGCCATGACAAAACCAACATAATGGGTCTGGTCTGGATCCATGCTGGTCGCAAACGCACTATGTTGGTTTTGTCATGGCGCGGCTCATATGTTCCTTTGTCGAAAACTGTAAAAAAAGAAATTTATAGGTACCTATGTTGATCAATGAAAAAGTTTTACATTTACAATTTTTTTACAGGAGCCTATGTCGATAAATGAAAAAAAAAGTATTACATGTTCTTATGTCGATAAATGAAAAAGTATAAGATGTATCTATGTCGATAAATGAAAAAGTATAAGATGTATCTATGTCGATAAATGAAAAAGTATAAGATGTATCTATGTCGATAAATGAAAAAGTATGACATGTATCTGTGTCGAAAAATGAAAAAAGTATTACATGTATCTTTGTCGATGAAAAACGTTTTGCCTGTACCTATATCCATAGATGAAAAAAAGTGTTAGATATACCTATGTCTTTTAATGAAAAATGTATTTCAATTAAGCACCTATGTCTATAACTGATAAATGTGTTTCATGTTCCTATGTCGGCAAATGAAAATGATAATTCATATCTGAAATCTTGAATAATTAATTAGTTGAGGAAAATTATCTTCAAATTTGATTAATTTTCTTCAAATTGTAGAATATTTATGTGCTAATTTCCTTCATTAATTTTAGCAAATTCTGACTGCAAAACTACTTATTCAGATTATGTATAATATAATTTATATTAAAGAGACTATAAGGAAGACATATTCAACAGGATCAACAATTAAGCCTTGTGACTTGCCATTAAAACCAACACATGTATATAATATATATAGACTATTTATTTGTTTATCTTTTTATTTATTTATTGGAAATGTTCACAAATAATAAAATATGTTTCAAAGTAAAGTACTTGGATTCATGTCTTTTCTTCATCATGCATTATAAACTATATGTAATGACCTATTAAGTGTTTTAGCATGATATACTGACTGGTTATTATACTTGTTCTTATTATATTCAATCAATCACTGGACTATCACTCCCCAAAATGTCATCCTTTACAAGACAGTCTCTCATATTGCATAGTGCAGAAACAACACGCAAAGAA